TTGTTTGTTTGAATTTCGCTTTTATCGTACATCATGTGTGAAATACCCACACTCTAATTTGGATATAAACATCTATAATAAATAATACTAATATTTCATACATTACTAAAGAATGAATCGCTCTATTTTTATCAATATTATTACTTCCTTGCGTGGGCATGTTTCTGGAATTCATCAAATATTTATCAAGAAATATGTCATCATTTATTTGCCTTGCTGTTCCCTTAAATTTTCCCGGTATTGAAACATTCTCTTGATTCTATTTCTAGTTTTGCATATGGATTTCGACATACAACATGCTACCTTCTTACTTGGCATATGTAGACATGCAATACTATACAGAATTACGATTCCTGGAAGTTTTTTTCATTGAAATTAGTTATTTGAATTGGGAGCAACTAGCTCCAAATTGTCAGCCCTTTTTTAATAATAACGTAACATTTATTACACTACCGTAACAGTTGTTACACTTTATAAATGAGATCATCAAAGATCTGATCTTATTTTTCCTGTATACAATAATTGTAATTCAGTACAGTCAAGAATTAATGTTCTTGGGCTTACTGCGATCTTCGCGAGCAACGTCGATTTCACGGGTGGTTTCTCGAAATCATCTGCCTTGATACTGTCCATGAGATGTTCGTATTGATGTCTCTCCTACCATAATCTTCCCTAATGTCAAAATCGGTTAGCAAAATGTCCAAAATGAGTATTATAAGTTATTTGGTAGTCTCATAAAAACAAAAGCTGCAAATGAATTGTTCGTCGATCGCGACTTTCCCTGGCTGTCCCTCGTGTGGGCACCTACACGCGACTGTCTATATTCAACACAAACTGTTAAACACCATCACCGTCTACTAATCTATGCTATCGAAGTTTCTTTTGAGCACAAAATCTATCCATTTTCAATTTACTACGCAAATGTCATCTTTAAATTAACAATCTATACAACTCTTAAGCATGTCAAAACTAATTACGTATCACACACGCACTTACCATTAATTGAAACACTTAATCCACTCTTCATTGAAAATACTCGAACCGTTTTGGTCAAATGCATTGGCCCTGGCCACTCTCGTGAGAGAGAATGACTCAATGCGTCCGCTATGGCCGCTGGCGTAGGAGAGATTGTGTATTGCCAAATTCCTACACGACCACACCTCGCACCTCCTGCTCTATACATTCTTCATTTAAACTATATGGAGCCCTGCTTCCGACTCCATAAATCAGCGAGCTAGAATGTACTACATAGAGTGGCTGTCCCTATAGTTTCAGCGCTCTTGGTGGAGGCTCGTCGAACTAGTGGCCGCCATGTTTTTTGAACTCAACACATACGAGAGACAGTGTAACCAGGTGTAATCGTACGTAACCAGCGTTTGTAACCAACGCTAAAAGAAATGCTGGAATACTTTGTTTCCCTGAAGGCGCTGCTTTGACTGCAAAAAACAAGAACTTCCAGCCGCAAATGCAATTGTGTAAACAAAATGTTGCATAGGTTCGGTTCTGTAACAACATTACACATTTGAAAAATACACATAAAATTCGTTTAAAGTAAATTATCTCGATGCAACACCTTTAAGTGTCATTTAAACGGTTGAAAAGCCCATTTTCATGGAATTAATTTATTTCTAAAAACTTTTTCACGTATTTATGGATATAATTTTGTGTATATCCTCGTAGTTTCAAACAAACACAATAAAAACACATTTAGTTGGTCGTAATTATTTTCACCAAAGTTTCTTACATTAATTTTGTTAGTACATCTTCAAGGCCTTTATCTTTATTCTTATTTTTGCAAATCAGAACCTCGAAAGGAAACCGGTTCTATATACAAACTATCCACATTCGCTGGCAGTATTCCAAGGTGACTTTTCTTATCCGTGCCAATACCTGTGGAGATCATACTTCCTCTTTTCTGCCACTTCCGCGGACTTATGCTTTCTGAAAAAGTACGAAATGAAAAACTTGGAGAATAAGGGCATATACAAGAAAGAAGCTGTTGAAATTATGAAGTTAATTTTATAGTTCATGCAAACGAAGTGTTTCTGTTTGTAAAGTAAAAGCAATTGATTTTTTGTATAGTAGAAAATTACATTAAAAGATAGTGATAATTTAACTCAAGGGATGTAGCAAAAAAACCTGTTCATCGTTTTGAACGACGCTCTAAAAATACTAATACCCAATTCTTTTGTTTCTTTTGTTTCTTTCTTTGAAGCTATAATCCAGTGTAAATGTTGGCTTGACGTCCCCGTGTTCGCAGTTATGCCTCATTTTGGGATTAGAGGGGATTATCCCAACATCAGGGTCCTAGGAGAGAGTAGGGAGCGGTTGGGGAAGTAGTGATCGCGATATGTTAGTGTTTTATTTTAGGAAACTGTTCTGACATACACCTTTAGCTGGTTGGATAAAACCTCAAAAACGACAAATTAGAGCAGCTCCCCTAGGAGCCTTGTCCATTCAAAAGCAGGTATCAACCATCTGCCCAGTTACTTTTCTGTGGTCGAGTCTGTCATAGACCTCATGGAATCACTTAAGACCTCTCTGTATACGAAGTTTTTATTCAGCCCGAACCAAACAAATGAAATTAGTTACAATGTAATATTTAATAGAAGTTAAATTTTGAATTCCCGATATCTCGGAGCAATAACGAATCAAATGAAACATTTCGTAATCTTGCCGGTTCTAAGAATTTCTTTACAATATTATCCCATTACCGGAATTACAGAGTATGTTTCGTTGCCTAGAACTTGTAGAAACAACATAGACACTCACTAAAAGTAAGTTTGCGCCATAGCAGTTTCTTCCATTAAGTCTCTTGCCTGTAAGTACGGCCTGTAAGTTGTAAGTGTTGCATGTAAGTGTGTGTGTGTGTGTGTGTGTGT